TTAAAGCTGGTGAAGAGTTGGTTTTCTTATGAGCTGGTTTTCTTATATTGACCCCTGCAAACAAATGAAGCCATAATTTTAAATTGTTAATTGTTTAAGAAATTTTTTATGGGAAGCTACACTAATAGAGTTCAAGTACAGATAGGCTTGGGACTCTTAATTTGAAACACACTAGTAGAGTTTGGGAAACCAGAGGAAATTTTTCTTTTCCTTTTTTTGCTCAAGCTATCAGCTGTTACAAAAGGTTCTGATGAAATTTTGCAATGTGTGGGTCTGTCGGTATTCTTTTTGATTTGAGAAGAGCCATATGCTTTACTTTTTACAAATTTGTATTTATTTTTATGTGTCATTAGCTGTTATTTAACAATATTAATGGAAATCTGTACTAAATACCAGATTGCCGGTGGCAAGTTGAAATTCTGTTACCAAAATTTTAAAATCATGATTTTTCACGGATGAGGGGATACCTCCCAGTTCTGCATGGAAGACATGGCTCAGGTTTATGTCTTTTCAGATTAGAATTTGATCTTTCAAGCATCTGTTCATATCTGCTTTATTTTTCCCAGCGGCACTGTAACATTGCTGTTGTCACAGGTACTTCTGCAGGATGAGTTGGAACAAGGAGGAGGGAGCACCTCCGTGATGCTGAGTGTGTGTGTGTTGGGGGGGGGGGGTCACCCAGGAGGTGGTGCTGGAGCTGCCTCTCACCAGATCATTGCTGGAAAGCCCTTCCAGGTGGAAGGGGCATTGGGGCAGAGGCCTTGGAGCAACAGGGAAGGTGGCATTTTCAGAAAGTGAAAGTGGTTTGTTTTTTTGTTGAAGGATAAGTATTAGGGGAATGAAGAGTCATAGAAGAAGCCAGAGTGGTACCGTGGGCCAGTTTGTGAAGGATCTTGTATATCTTCTGTTCATTCCTTTATTTAGCAAAGTTTTATTGAACAGCTACTGTGTATCAGGTTCTGTTCTAAACACTAGCATTCAGCAAGGAGTGAACAAAACAGAGAGAGCTGCTCATGTGGAATTGCCTTCTGACAGGAAGAGACGGCAGCACTTGATAGTAAAACTATCTAAGTGCACAGAGAGGTATATTAGTGAGAACGGATGAGAAATTTTGGCAAGAGCAAGAATGGAGGAGAGGCTGCTATTTTAGGGGGTGAAGAAAGACCTCATTAAGAAGGTGATCTTGGAATAAAGATCTGATGTTGGTAAAGGAGCCAGTGGGGTGAGTGTCTGAGAATGTTCCATGCTGAAGAATTGTGCAAAGTCCCTGAGATCTGGCTTGTTTAGGAGAAAGCATGATGGGGTACTGGGAAGGGAGAGGAACAGGATGCATGGTCTAAGAAACTATGGGGGCCGGGTCTTAATGGCCTCTGTAAGCATTTTGGCTTTTATCTGGGTAAGATCGGGAATGAATGATTGGAGTGTTTTGACCAGAGTAAGATATAACACAACTTGAGTTTTTAAAAAGACCCCTTTGGAATGAGTAGAAAGCCAGGAGATGAGTCAGGGCTCTTGCAACAGTGCAGGTGAGGAGAACAGTGGCTTGGACCTGGGGGTTGCAATGCAGTGGCTCGGGCAGAGTTTTTGACCTAAGGGTGATATTCAGCCACTGAAAACTTCTGATCACGGAGTGATGTGGGCTATGTGTGGCAGCCATGTGGAAGAAGGATTGGAGAGTTGAGGCAAGGAGCTGGGTCAGTTTCCAAGGCTGTAAGAATCAGGCATAGAGATACAAACCTCACAAGGGATGTAGGCTCATGCCTGAAGGCCCTGTGAGCCAACTTCTTCATAAAAAAAAAAAAGGAAGAGAAAAGATTTACACACTGGAGTTTCCTCTGTAAACTTTGCCAAGGAAGTAAGGTGAATGGTTATGGTCAAGTTTACTGTAGAGGTGGCCCTCCTTGCAGATCCCCATGGACCCCTACCACATGCAGGGTGCTGTTCAAGTGCTGCCCAATGCGTTTGCTCACTTAATCCTCATCACATCGTGCAGGGTACTGATGGCAGCCTCCAGGGCACAAAGATCTCTGCCATGGTGCTTCCCTCTTAGAGGTCTCTTTGAGGGATTCACAATTGTCTGGTCATCTATAAAACTAAATGTAAGAAAGTGATCACCTCTTTCCTTAGTGAGCCATGATCATGATGTCTTCAGAGACTTGGTCACTGCCACGTAGAAATATGTATGATTTCAATGTTATTCTTTGAGTTCCCACTGACAGAAATTAACTTAAGAAACATTAAGTGGAGGTGAGTGGGATTGCTAGAAACGGAAACATCCAGAGGAAGAAAGGGGTGTGTGTGTGTGTGTGTGTGTGTGTGTGTGTGCATGCACGTGCACATGCTCACGTGCACACATGTCTGAGCACCTGGGAAATGGTCTAGAAGTTGTGGCTGGGTGCAGTGGCCCCAGTGCTGCTCAGATCGCTGGGTGTGTTCTCTCCACCTCTGCGGTCCAGATGTTGGCCTGGGTCTCTTTTTATGTCGATGGCTTCCTCATGTGGTCAGGAGGGCTGCCCGTGTGCAGCTTCAGGGTAAACCATCTTTATATGGTACCTTGATTCTACTGGGAACGAGTGTCTTTCTGAGAAGCTTCAGGAGAATGCTGAGTTACCTTGTCTTACCCCCAGCGCCCATCTCTGGGGCAGAGGTGCACAGCCAGCCCCATCTGAGGGGCAGGTAAGTAACACTAAGCAGCTGCCACAGGTCTGCTGCACCTTTGCCAGAAGTAAGAGGCATAAGGTCGAGGGCGTCATCTGGTGGGCACTGAGTTGCCTTAGGAAGAGGGTAGCCTGTCCCAGCGCGACTCAGTAGTATTTGAGGTTGGTGCAATTATTCTCTATGGGAAGATATATGACCCATAGTTCCTCTGAGTTGCCAGCCCCAGTCACATTATTTTTTTTTAAGGTGAGTTGTGTGATCTGGGGTCCAGCAGCTTTTCTTCAAACAGGGGTTCAGTCTGGACCTTCCCAGCTGGTCCCAGGGGGTGGGGAGGCAGCCAAGCCTCAGAACACACACTGTCCTCCTTCACTAGTTCTCTTAGGTGGATACTTTCTTTTTCCCTTCTTAAATGAGCTGATAGTGATTGGAGAAAACAAGAGCTAGCTTTAAAAAAAAAAAAAAAAAAAAAAGTGTTCCATTTTCTTTAACCTTGACCCAAATTCAGATACTATTTTTTTCATCATAATCTGGTACACGTATACCTTTGTTTACTTAACAAAATACTGTATGATAAAACAGTATTTATCCCTTGCAAAATGCCATGCACTCTTAATAGTTTTTGTTCATTTAAAATTCCATTATAAAAAGCACACACCTCTGGTTGCAACCATTCTAAATTTATTTTACAACTCACTAATGGGTGGCAACTTATAGGTTGAATATTATGAATTAAACTAGTGAAAAACGGGCAGCAATGGGGTATTAGTTTAGGAGAGCTTCTGCAGCAAAGAACCACACATCAGGTGGTTTCAACAACAGAAATTCTTTCTCTCACAATTCTGGCAGCTGCAAGTCCAAGATCAAGGTATTGGCAGAGTTGGTTCTTTCTGCGGGCTGTGAGAGAAAATCTGTTCCATACCTCTCTCCTAACTTCTCCTGGCTTGCTGGTATTTTTTTTGGGGGGGGTGTCCTTGGCCTGTAGATATATTACCCTATCTCTGCCTTATCATGGGATATTCTCCCTGTGTCTGTGTTCAGATTTCTCTCTTATTATTATTTTTTTTAATCCAGGAGTGCTTAACCACTGAGCCACATCCCCATCTCTTTTTTTTTTTTTTTTTGAGACAGGCCCTTGCTAAGGTGCTGAGGCTGGCCTTGAACTTGTGATCCTGCTGCCTCAGCCTCCCAAGTTGCTGGGATTACAGGCATGCACCACCATGCCCAGCTTCAGATTTCTCCCTTTATAAGGATACCTGTCATACTAGGTTAGGGTCCCACCCTACCCCAGGACAACCTCATCACAACTTAAATAATTACATCTGCAGTGACCCTAGTCCCAAATAAGGCCACATTCTAAAGTATGGGATGCTGAGACTTCACTGTGAATTTTGGGGTGGGGGACACAGCTCAACCCATCGCCTGTTACACCTGTTCATAGAAGGAGACATGCATAGCCATTTGGTCTGAATTGAAACGCAGGGAGTAAACACTAAGTTAAAATCATGCTTAGGAGTATTGCAGGGAAGCCTTCTGAGCGGATTCACTGGTGCCGGTCCCAAAGGGTCCTGCCACAGGTCTGTGGATCACATGCTCCAGGGAAGGGAATGCCAGTGAACCCAGGGCTTTGTGCACCTGCGGCAAGTTCCTGCATACCTGCCAACGCCAGCAGCCAGCCCGACTCCCTCCCTCCCTCCCTTTGTGCTTCCCCATCCTCATTCTGAATTTAGATCAGGGTAAAGAATAGAGAAAAGGAAATGAGCCAGAAAATAGAAAATTAATACTTGGTAGAATCGTCATATTTTAAAATTAATTTATAGGCAATGCCAGATAACCGGAGTTAAATCATTTTATCAGCAGGTTGCTCTAGGATTTAAAAATTGGCATCCATCATTGTAAATCAGGTCTCAGGAGCCCCAGGGAATGGTCTCCAGGGATGAGGGTTGACATAGGGTGGGCAGAAATGTAAATACTTGATTAGCTGTGTCCTTTTCTTTCACAGAGAAACCTAAAATATTTTTACATCATGAGTGATAACGGTATGTTAAATAGTAACGGGAGGGATGCAGCTATTCAGGTTTATGGTTAGGCTTGTTTTAATATTTAATCTTCCTCCCTGTGAGTCCTGGGAAACTGGTTATGGGAGAGGCACTCAGTTCAGGGTATCCTTGGCTCATAGTTCTAGGGATGGCTTAGCATCCTTCTCCAGAACCCCCTTTTCCCCCATGGTTAGGATGCCATCTCTCTGCCTGAGGCCTGAGGGCAGAAGCATCCTTGAGTTTGCCACACTCGTCCTGGGAGACCTTCCATAATTAACGACCTTCCCGTCCTCTCCTGTTTTGCAGCTCTTTGTCGCGGGCGTGTGGTGAGAGTCCCAGCAGGGACCCTGGTCCGGGTGGTGGGCACTGAGCTGGTCATCCCCTGCAACGTCAGTGACTACGATGGCCCTAGCGAGCAGAACTTTGACTGGAGCTTCTCGTCGTCGGGGAGCAGCTTCGTGGAGCTCGCAAGCACCTGGGAGGTGGGCTTCCCCGCCCAGCTGTACCGGGAGCGGCTGCAGAGGGGTGAGATCCAGTTAAGGCGAACCGCCAACGACGCCGTGGAGCTCCACATAAAGAATGTCCAGCCCTCTGACCAAGGCCACTACAAATGTTCCACCCCCAGCACAGATGCCACTGTCCAGGGCAACTATGAGGACACAGTACAGGTTAAAGGTACAGTCCTCATGTGGGGTCACTGTGCTGGGGGCCAGACCTTCCTCTGCCTTTTGGCTGTGTCCAGAGACAACACCCCTGTCCAGGGGACTGCTAGTGTCTTACCTGGTTAAAAGCAGAGGAGGGACCAGGTGACCTCTAAGTGCCCTTTCTCTTCTCTCCTACATGGTTCTGAAGCATCTCAGGGCTGGGGAGTTGGAGGCAGCATGGTGTGGTGGGAGAGCCAGCTCTGGAGCTAGGTCGCCTGTGCTCAGTCCAGTTCTGACTCTGTCACTTGTTAGCTGTGTGGTGATGGGCATGTGACATGCCTCCACTTCCTCCTCGCTATGGCAGTATGTACCTCAAAGGGTATGAGACAGGTAAGTTAACATGTGCTAGGCCTTAGAGCAGTGCCAATAGCGAGTTGCACTCAGTGGTTAGTGACAAGAAGGTGTTGGTCATGATGACAATGATAAGTTGTACAGAAATAGCACATATTTCAAAGTTCATCTTTCTTTGTGACCTGCATGGTTTAAATGCCTGTTTGTAACAGAAGTTGTATGTTTGTATATACCCCCAGAATGATCTGGTCACTGCTGTTCATTGACCTGGCTGTGTAAAGAATCATATCTTGTGTTATCTGTCTTGGGTTTTGTTTTATTTTTTCCATCTTTCAAGACCTCTTAGATTTACTCACACATTCAGTTCTCTAACTCCCCTGAAAAAGATAGGGCAGGATATTTCTCTAATTGAACAGGAGGAAATGGAAGAGCAAAGGTTAATTACTTGCCTAAAATCACACAGCTAATTAGGAAATGAGCAAGAACAAGCCATTTTAATTGGAGGCTAACAAAATAGAAACATTATTATTGTTATTATTATTAATTATGCATTTCATTTGTACCCGGCCTCGTTCCCAAAAGGATAGAAATGTATGTAATTATCAGGACAGTGAAAAATGTACACGAGGATATAAAAAGAGAGGGTTGTTCCAGGCGTTTGTATCCGCTATGATTGGTAGAACCTTCCATCTCGGGTACTATATCCCCGCACTAGAAACTCGTGAAGGAGTGAAGCAGCTACCCATGTCTGTGAAGTACGTTGAAAGCATTAACACATCTGATCTACTTCTTCCATTTCCTCTACTTCATTCCTGCAGGAACAAATCCCTACTTTATTTTTACAGGAATAAAGTAGAGGAGTAAATCCTGAGGGTGTTTTTTAAAAGTCCCATGTCATTCTTGCATGGGAGTTACAATGCGGTGTGATCTATCTCTTCTCCGCTAGGTCACATGCAGCCTTGACTTCCCTTGTGGTTCTCATCTTGAGGACCAGGAGGGCAGCAGGAGACTACCACCCCAGTCACCATCCCCAGTGTCTTTTTTTTCCCTTCTTTCTTCTCTAGTCTTTAGCAGACAGGAGAAGCAAAGGAAGGCTTTTCTTGGCCTGAGAAAGCAGATGGAGGACCGTGAGAGAGACTGACTGGCTATCTAGATGGAGCCTCTGGCAGGTGCTGCTTGTATTCCAGGGTTTCTCTGGCCTTCAGCTTCATGGGTCATGAAACTATCCATCTATACCCAGAGAGAAGCCGACATTGAGAACCAGTTCGTGTTAGCCAGACTCACAGATTGATGTATAATGCTAGAAAGTCACGGCATCTATTCTGTAGAAGGGCTGGATCTTTAGAATATGCCCTTCTAAAGACATGGCAGGTTTTTCCTGTTATCTAGAGTACTCCCTTCTCAGGGACACTGAATTAGTTTCTCAGAGTGGAATTGAGAGAAAAAACCAAGGAGATGATGAATAGGATTCTCTTACTGAGCTTCTGGACTAACCTGATAGATTTTCCATGCCCCTTGTTAGAGGTCCCCTCTGTGGTGACTAGAGTACCAATGTTGGTTGCTTATCCCTTCTCTTCCTAAATCGCACTCACTAATAATTCCTTGACCCCCTGTCCCCCCTTTCTAGACCCTGTAGAAGTGCTGTTTCTTCCAGTGAGCCCTAGGAGAGCGATAGCTGGACCCTCAGCTTTCTTTGGCCTGGTCCTGTCCTGTGGATACACTGTTTCCCCTGCTCATCTCAGGCAGTTCCCAGGTGGTGAGCCACAGAGGGCTCATGCCATCCTTTCCCCCAGCAGATCTTGGCGGCTTTAACTCTGAGAATGCCTCATCTGCTGGCTGCGGACTCCTAACCAGAGTCCTAAGCAGAGAAGTATTTTGACAGTAATAACCAGCTGTTTTATCCTGATGTCAACCACTGTCCTGGGAACGCGGTGCCCACTTTAACTTGTTGAACTCTCCGGTCAACCGCATGAGGAAGATCCATTTTAAAGAAACTGTCACAAAAGAATAAAATAACTTGCCTCAGGGTGACAGAAGCACATCCCTGAAAACTCAGCTACCAAAGGCAGTTTTCCTTCCCCACCCCAGTTCTAGCCGGGGGGGTTTAGTAGTCTCTTCTTCCTTTTTTTAATTTATTTTTTTTCTTTTCTTTTTTAAGTCACTTGAGATAGATGAGTCGAAATGGGAAAGTTGCCCATCTGGGCCTTAGAACGGGGAGAGGAAGAAAGGATTTGACTTTGGTAATGGCTGCAGGCATGGTTCAAGGCCGGAGTCCTGGAAGGTGGCTGGCCTTTGCCACCAGGGGGCCCACGTCCGCTGACCCAGATGTGTTCTCTCTCTCTGCAGTGCTGGCCGACGCCCTGCACGTGGGCCCCAGTGCGCGGCCACCGCCCAGCCTGAGCCTCCGGGAGGGGGAGCCTTTCGAGCTGCGCTGCGTGGCCTCCACCGCCTCGGCCCTGCACACGCACCTGGCGCTGCTGTGGGAGCTGCACCGCGGGCCCTCGCGCCGGAACATCCTCACCCTCACCCACGAGGGCAGGTTCCACCCGGGCCCAGGCTATGAGCAGCGCTACCACAGCGGGGACGTGCGCTTTGACACCGTGGGCAGCGACTCCTACCGCCTCTTGGTGTCCAGGGCGCTGTCTGCCGACCAGGGCAACTACAGGTGTGTGGTCAGCGAGTGGATCGCAGATCAGGGTAACTGGCAAGAAATTCAGGAAAAGGCGGTGGAAGTTGCCACCTTGGTGATCCAGCCAACAGGTGAGCTTCCGGAAATGGTGTGCATAGACCGTGTGTTGTGACCCGTGGTGGGATAAAGAACTGAGCCAGGGAGCCCTTGGGTTTTGACAAGAACCATGGGCCTCTGGTGTGAGGCCTTCCTTTGGGGGTGAAGGGAACAGGGTGGTGCTGATGGTTTGGGCAGAGGTGCATTGGTTTTGAGCTCTATGCTATCGTTTTTTTTTGTGTGGCAGCTGCATTTATCTGATCTTATACCCATGGGAAGCTGCAGCATTATTCAAGGTACTTCACTCAAAGATGGGAACATCAATTCCTCTCAGAGGGAAGCCCTGCCTGGTGTGCAAGGGGGATTTGGGGTGGATCTGCCCACACCTGCTCCCTTGGCTTTATCTAATTTTGTGTTTTCTGAGTCAATCTGCCTGTCACCACAGCTATTGGGATGGGTCAGGATCACCCCTGAACCTCTTACCTAACTTTTCATTCTCTAGGCCTGCCTTTGGGGTCCCCTCAGCTGTGCCAACCCATCAGGTGAGGTATTCTGGAGGGCTGGGCCCCTTGCTTCCTCTACCATCCATATCCCAGGAGTATCTAGCCCTGGGTCTATTCAAGAAGTCCTTTTTCCTGTTATTTGTGAATCTACCCCACACCTTTTTAACCCCCTACTCCAACTACAGAATAATGAAGAAAATAGAAAAAGCATGTTAGAAAATACACAAAAATTAGAAAAACAAATATATATATATATTTTAAAGCCAGTGTTGACTTATTGTTTAATAAGCATTGATAGAAAACCCATGTGGCTCAGTTCTGTGCTGGGCCCTGGGGGCCCAGGGGCAGGACACTTGTTCTCAGGCCCCATGGAGCTTGCATTTTCAGCAGAGATGGACTGCAGAAAGACCATTGCAGAGTAGTGTCATTGCTGGGCCTGAGTGGGTGGACTTTGTGTTCTCGGAGTGTGACTGACAGGTCTCAGAGTGCTTTGCTGCTGCTGCTGCTGCCTCCTGTTTTTTAAACTGGGAAGACCTTGGCTAGGCTCATTTCCTGAGCAGAAATGTGAGTGTGTGGCTGCTCGGTTGCTCGGATGGGAAGGAAAGAAGGAAACAATGTGCACCGTGTTTGTCTCTGTTAGACATATTGTCCTGGGCACATTCCTCTGCATTTATGCCACCACCTCAGAACTGGATTCAGTAGAAGTAGGTGTGAAAAGCAAGACTGAGCTTCTCGAGGGACTGTGGCCATCAAGGAGAAGAGCTACCCATCACCGTTACAGAAATCACTCTCCAGATGGATTCAAGTCATTTTTTTTTTTCCCCTCTCAGTGCTGAGGCTGGAACCCAGGAACCTGCACATGCTAGTCAAGTGTTCTACCATTGAGCTGCATCTCCAGCCCTCGGGTCAGCTTCCTTAGCAGAAGTGATCTGTCGAGAAGCTACCGTACAAAACCTCCAGCTATTCAGCCTGCATCAAACAGCTATTTTAATGAGACAGGAGGGTTAAAAGAGTTTCAGCTTTACAGCAAGTTAACCATTTTATGCAGGAATTTCAGTTGTAAAGTTTTTTTTTTTTTTTCTTCTTTTTCAAATACCACAAAACCCATAGTATCTTGTAATAAGACTGGAACACTGAGCCTACTAGGCAGGTAATAATGTCTAGCTCTCACCTGAGACTAAGGGTTCATAATCTTTTTTTTGCCATGGGCTTCCTTGAGAGTCCTTTGAAGTTCCTTTGTCAGAATTAAGATGTCTTAATTCTTAAAACATAATACACCAGATGACAGAGTAAAGCACTTATGTTGAAATAGTTATCAAAATACTTGAAGACAAATTTAAAATAATATTATGCTTCTTTATTAACACGTTAATAATAAGATAGAATGGTAGACCTAGCAAACTATCATAATTTCTAGGTAGCGATGAATGTAAGTGATGTTTTACAATATCTGCAACAACTATAAACCTATAATGTAATATGAAAATAACTGTGATTTCTGTTGCAGCGAAGTCCCAGGGGCAGGTAGTACTACCCGGCTCATTTTCACATTGTGAAAAGGTACTCTATTTTAGGGAACATTGGTAAAATGGATTTTTTTTTCCCATACACATTCACAGACTCCATAAATTCTCTTTGTAGACCCCAGGTTAAGAATCACTTGAGTTATAGTCATTTCTATCTTGTCTAAGTTATGGTTATTCTCTTGTCTTGTACTATCCATAGCTGACTGCTTAAATATTCTGATCACATTGTTGTTATAAATGGCACAGAGCCACTTAGACAATGAAGCTGTGTTCCGGATGAGGTAGTTACCCGCCCCCACTCCCCACAGTTATAGTACCGGGTAGACTGGGTGATGCAAATCTTGGTGTCTAGTTTATGGATGCAGTTGTATTACAAGGGAGAATTCCTGCAGCACAGGCTTTGCCTAGGTCCCCTCTTGCACTACAAATCCTTTAGAACTGCTTCTTTATTTCCCTCCAGCCTGCTCCAGCCTGTTTTCCAATGGTCAACTCCTGAATCCAGAATGTGTGAGGCCTATGGTTAGTGATATGACAAGATGTTTAGCCACTTGCACAAATCAAATTACAAAGTGAACTATGCAGTTGAAAAGACATTTCTGCCAACATTTCCAGGACCCAAGGATCTATTTTCTCAATATACACATACCTCAGCTCCCTGTTGAGTACTCCCTCACTGACCTGACACCCTCCTGAGTCAGTCTTCCCGGGGGAGCTGTTGGCCCAATAGCAGCTCCCTCAGCCAACTTCAGGGTTTCTGTCCACGAGCATTGTATTGTATGTAAGTGGGGTGGGTCAAACTGCAGAACCTGGCTCAGCGTGGCAGTTTCTGTGAGTCCTCTCAAAAGATGCCCTCAAGTTACTTTTGGCTTCTTTTTAAAGAGATGAGGGAAGAGGAAGAATTTGAAGGATGAAATTGGACTTCTAAATTCCTTTTTCTAATGCTATTCCCACCTTCTTTTCTGTCCTCTCTCACAGTAAATGTTGAACTTGGCTTGAAAGACTTGTTTGAAATTTTGTGAAACTCTGGAAATATTCATGTGCACGTAATGTACACCAAAGGGCATGGGCTTTTCGGTTGGCACCAGACTCTGTCCCTGAACTTCCTGGGGACAGTGGTTGAGGCATGTGGCTCTTGCTAGCAGGCCTGGGCTGTGCCCCCATTCCCATCCCCTGGGTGATGTCAACTATTTACCATCTAAGTAATTGTTCCCAGAGCATTATCACAAGTCCAGTGTTTTCCTACTCTGATTACAGATGTTTGACTCCTTTTCAAAAAAACCCTGAATAGAGTAAAATGTTTCCATATAAAAGCTTTGACAGGGGAATGCTGAAACTCGACCCCCTGGAATCTGTGACACCAAATACTTCAGTGCTTCATCTAAATATAGTCTTATTTTAATTACCCACACTAATGAGAGAGGGCAGTAGCGTGGATAATCCAAAAATCATTGTGTTCTGGCTATAGAGTATGTCTTATGTTTGACTTTTAGGTGGGCATTCTAATGAAATCAATATTTCTCTGAATTGATTCAAAAGGAACATTTTCTGTTTCCACTTTACTTTCTTGTCTGCTTTGGGTATTTTTTTTCTTTCTTTTTCTTTTTCTTTCCATTCTAGAGATGGAACTCAGAGCCTCATGCATGTTTGCCAGGGGCTCTGCCCACCGAGCCATACCCCCCCCCCCCAGCTAAGGCTTTTTTCCTTTTTTCTAGAAAAATGTTTTCACCTTCACTTCCTACCTTCTCTTTCTCGGTCTCAAACTGACTGTGCACACATATCAGAACTGAGCTGTCCTTTTTAAAAGCACCCAAGTTTTATTATGCAAATGGAAAAAGTTTGATTTTGGTTTTGTGACTTTCAGCAGACTTCTTCTTATCAAACAAACCATAGCTTAACAGTTAAGACCAGAATTCCTAGAAGCAGGCAGTCCAAATCTGAGTTCTAGCTGTGTCCTATATTAACAATGTGACTTGGGGCAGGTTACTTCTCTGTGCTTCTGGTTCCTTATCAGTTAAATGAGGATAATAATAGTATCTTCTAATAGAATTATTTTGAGTATCATCCTCAGAACATTGGGATATAGTGTGTATCAGTATTTGCAATTGTTGTTTTTTTTGAAATAAAGAGAAATGCAGCATGTTTCATGAATTTATCCATTCAATACCTCTTAAGTATGTAGAACTGTACAAAGCCTACTAATTTTCATGCCATAAAAGAGAACTTAAAAGAAGATGATCTGAAGGGAAGCAGGGTAGGAGAGATGAAAGGTGGAGGAGACAAACCTAATCCAGATTACTTAGATTTATTTGTTGTTTAATTTACAAGTTCTGCGAGCAGCCGTGGCCAGGAACTTGTCCGTGCCTGAAGGAAAGGATCTGGACCTGTCCTGCAACATCACGACAGACCGGGTGGATGAGGTACGGGCCGAGGTGACGTGGTTCTTCAGCAGGACACCCGATGGCTCCTCTCCTGCCCGCCACATGTTGGCACGACTGGACCGTGATTCCCTGGTGCACGGCTCGCCTCACGTGGCCTTGAGTCACGTGGACGCTCGCTCCTACCATTTACTGGTCCGAGATGTTGGCAAAGAAAACTCCGGCTACTATTTCTGCCACGTGGCGCTCTGGGTACCTGGACACAACAGGAGCTGGCACAAGGTAGCAGAGACCATGTCTGCACCTGCCAGCGTGGGTGTGACCTGGCTAGGTGAGTGTTGGGAGGATGGCTTTTAGCCTCTCCGGCGTAATCCCTCCTTGGAGCTGTCTGGAGGAGTCTGGGTGCTGGGTGTGCTGCATTATTTAGACCTTCTTTTTTATGGGGAGAAGTGTAATTTAGAGAGATCCAAAGCTGGAGGTGAAAGCAAAACTGGCTGAAATAGAATCTGGCAGGCAAGGGAAATGTTTAGATAACGTGGCCTCCGTTGTCTCAATGCCTTCAATTGAGAGGGCATAGTTTCCTTTTGTGGTTGAGATTTGCAGGGTGGGAGCTGTGCTGGATGGCTTTGAAATGGACCTTTGTTGGAGGGCGAGCACTGCCGTTTTCCCTGCCTGTCCGACATTCCTAGGTACTCCTTGGCAGGCGCTGCTGCTTTCCAAAGCTCTGTGCAGAATTCCTTCAGCTAATAGGAGGCTTTTTTTTTCCCCCACTTAAATGCCCTGGAATCCCAAAATGATTTTATCTGCTGCTGCCAGTTACACACAGGGGGCTTCCTGCTTCCCCAGGCTCTTCTTGGGGCCTCTCTCAGCCTGGGTACATTTTCCTTGGTGCAGAAGCAAAGTTGGTCACCTCGCCACCCATTTTTAGTAGTGTGTCATATGTGCAGAGATCATCGTTGTTTCCTCAACTTGTCATATGTGTGACCCCTGGCCTGACCTCGTGTTTTCTACCATGCTCACCTTCCCCATCCCTTGTTTTCCTACGTGTTTTCTCACTGAGCGAAATGTGTATGGGCTCTTCCTAATTTTCGTTAATGGCTTGTAATTGCAAGTAAACTCGGGAGGGCTGGGGTCAAATGGGGGTGTGGAAAGCCTTCCTCCCACCTGCATTATTACCAGGATGGGAAGGGCCTACCTGTCAAGCTCTTTCTGTTTAGAGCTTTGCCTGGCTACTGTCCCGTGAGTGCATTGGGCTCTGAGGAAGGCATTAGGCCTAACTTTGATTATTAGGAGGCAAAACACATCTTTCAAGGACAGGGAATGATTTCCTCCTTTGTCTGTTACCAAACATTTTCCTGCCATGACATGCCACTCACTCCTGGCTCTTCTCTGCATGGAAATCTTCTGTGAGAGGACTGCTGTGTTCACTGTCTGTCTGTCCTTAATACGCCTTTATTTGGTAAAGGTGGGGGATTGGCCAAGTGGGGACAGAGGGGGCAGGGAGAAAGGTAATAAGAGAGTAAGCAGAAAGGACAATCCAATTGCAATTGTGACTAGGCAGGGTGTTAGTCATCCCTGTTAACAAAGTGAGCCTTTGATATTGGGAGAGTAAAAGCAGCAAGGTTTATCTGGTGAGCTTTTTTATTCCTGCCGTCTGAGCCTTGTGTGAGAGACTCACTATGAAGTACTGAACTGGAACAATGTCGGCCCAGCTAGAACTCTCCTTAGCAACCTTCAAAATAAAACAGATGTTGTCAGCACCAAAAGAAGATTTTTCATCTCTGGAGCTGAATTTGTCTCATAGCTCTGATCCTCAGTGCATTGTGTGGCGCTGTCAAATTCCAGCGCCGCCTTTCCCTATCCCCTCCCCCTCCAATTTCTGAGTCCCAGCTCGAGGATTTTTTTTTTTTTTTTCCGAAAGTGCTGCTGCGTGCACTCCAATTTGAGGGTTTCTTTGAAGTACTCACGTATTGATCCCGGCATGCCCCGGGGGAGGTGCAGAGACTGTCAGACATCAGGAAAGGAGCTCTGGGAGAGCGTGGGCTCTTTTAACTGGAAGGGATTTGTTGGTGGCTCTGTTCTCCAGAGAACAAGAAGAAATAAAGAGACTAAATTGTGGAAAAGGTTCAGTTATTATCCTAAGGATCCTGTCGTCTGCTTTCCTGCGGAGTTACAGCACCATTGTCATGAAAATCATCAGCGTGCTTCTCCCTGACTGATGCTAATGCATATGGAACCCTGTGCCTTTCCCTACGCTTTACGCAGAATAGGCACTCGATAAATATTGGCTGATTGGCTGGATAGGTAAATCATCCAGGACCAGCACATGGATAATGTTAAAATACGTACACAGGGAAACCAGAATTGCAAACAGTTTTGCTCAAGTATTCAGGCATATTTGCACACAGATGAACCTACTAGGAGTGTTAAGTGGTATAAAAAAAAACAACTGCATTCTTTTCCTTTCTGTCTTTCTTCCTTCTTCTTCCCTGTGCCTGTGACTCATACCCTTGCAGCTGCTTGGACACTTGTCAGGAGACGAGCTGGGCATGAGTACAGCAGCAGACATTTAGTCAGGATCTCCACGCTGGGTTCTCTGCCCAGAAACAGATGTGCCTGACCTCACCCTACATGGTTATCTCTCGAAATGTAACATGTGTGTATGTGCATGTGCCTTCCATGCCAGATGCAACTTGGGGCCTGCATGAGGTAACAGGGAAGTGAGCCCCCTGCCCCCAAAAGCAGGAAGACAAGTGACCTGCCAGGTATATAGGTCATCTTAGGTTATATGACTGTGGAATGTTGTCACAGAAGCATTCTTAAGAAAGCTGGATCCCCAGCTTTGTCATGTGGCAAACTTGAGTTTTGTTGATACGTACACAAAACTCGATTTGCCACTTAACAGATCCAGAATTATCACTCCCTATCCCTGTCTGAAAATCACTATTTTTTTTTCATTTTGCCTATGATTTTGAGGGTCAGGGGTTAGGGAGGGACTCAGTGGGGTCCATCTCTAATACAGTGATGACAGCTGCAGGCACTTAGGGCTTCGGGCTGCCTTCTAGGTAACTTTGTTGTAGAAGTGACACCACGATCCTGGGCCTCTCTCCTCATATACATCTCTCCACAGGGCTGGGGCTTCTCGCAGCTCCATCTTCTCAGAGTAGGTCACGTTTCTTAGGTGGTGGATACCTTCTAAGAAGCAGGAGACGGAAGTTACTAGACCACTTAAGCGCAGAGTCTCCCACAGGTTCTGCTTTCTCCTATGGGTCAAGTCATCCCAATTTCAAAGGGAGATAAGAGACCTCCTAAAAGGGAGGGTAGCGAAAGATCCCCTTAATGGTAGAAGGGCACGTAAGAGGGGAAGTGCTACAGCCATCTTTGGAAAATAGAATCTACCATGGTGGAGAACACTTGCTTTGTCGTTGTTCTCCTTTGCTCGGCATGGGAGTGCTGAGGTCAGCGAGTGCGTGCACCTGGACGGGGTCTTCCCGAGTTCTCTTGTGTCCGCTGGGAAGACACCAGGGCACTAGTGGGAGTGGTATGGCATCTCAAGGAGCAGGTGATCACGGTGATTTTTTTTTTAAGTGAGAAAGTCCTCTTTTACTTAGGATTATGTCCTTCTTCAGAGGGGGGGRAAGGTTTAAGTTGGCTTCCAGAGTGAAACACAAAGCAGGAGACATAAAAATAAAACCAAGATCAAAAGGAGTGGGAAAAAATATCTGAGAATAGGTATTGCAAGGTGGTTGGGGCGAATTCATTATTGAATTTGCCTCTGAAGTTTTGAAGAGTTGAGACAAAAAGAGATGTGATGGTACAGTTCTCTTCTGAGGAAGGGAAACGTAAACTCTTTCAGAGAGACAGACTTTTTCTTGGCCCTGAATTTATCATGTGCTTTTTCATTTCAGGGAGCATTGGGTAACATGATGGACAGTGCTTTCAACTGTTCTTTTTTAAAAAAAAGGCCCTAAATGATTATTTAAATGGATTTTTTTTTTATGTCCACCCTTTATAAAAGCTGARGGCACAAATCCTAAGTGTGTGAAGGAGTTTCTGTAAGAAGCTGAATTACCGTGGGGGACAAATGTTGCTTTGTGTTGATCCAATTTAGTGTATAGCTGAAACTTAGGGAGCCTCGCAGAATGGCTAGTTAATCTGCACATTAAGCCATCTCTCTCTGCTATCAGATGTCTTAAATGAGCCTTTGGCAGGAGTTGGATACTAATCAGTTCATGGTTGAGCTCTCTGCCCCAAGTACCATGCTTCTTTGGTGTTAATTGGAGAGGGTTCCAGGGCTTCGGATACAAGAGCCGGAGGAGGCAGAGCTCGAGTTCTGCTCTTCAGTCTTAAGAACCTGATTTGCATTCTTCCCCACTGGAGGACCGGCCCCTATTCCAGCAGAGCGCCAGCGAGGAAGGTAATTATTTTTTTTCTTTAGAAGGAGCTGTTAATCTGCTAAGTACTTGGTAGAAACTTCGGAGTTCTGTGCCATCCATAAGGGATAATATTTAGATCTGTGCAGTTTTTTAGATGGACTGTTATTAGCAGTCTGCCCAGGATTCTCCCTGGAAGACAGAAGAACATGTGGCCAAGTTTTGGAGCCAGGGAGACCTGTTGAGTCCCACTTTACCATCTTCTAGGTGTGCTGTCTCCAGGGTGCTGCTTAACGTGTCCAAGGTTTGGTTTAATGGGATGATGCATTTTAAGTGAGAAGCACGGTAACTAGCACTTAAGTGCTTAGTACATCTTCTTGGCTGTAGTGATGATGATTTATTAGTGTTGGAGAGTCCTTCCCCACCAGATTCTTAACCAGTTGGGATGCAGGAATGCCTCTCAGGGCCTGGAGAAGCCCCACCTAAAGGAACAAGGATGTATGTGTCCTGGAAACAGCTGCTCCCGAGAGGAGCTAGGGAGCATAGGTTGAGCTGGCCACCTGTAGCCCTTTCTTGAATATTACTTTGGGTGTGGGACATTAGTGTTCCATTCAAATTATAGTTGTTGTTGTTTTTTTTTTAATTGTTCCCAAATGTCTCATGCTAAATGCATCCCCATGATAAGGGTGCTGCTAAGCTGCAGTGAAGCGCCCCCCTCCAACAATATTTTCTTATTTATAGCCATTTCTATTTAAATGTTGGAGAATATTTAATTGTTATAAAAGCAATGATTCGGGTAACTCTTCGACCATACACTTTGCTGCCTCTAAAGTACTTTCCAATTCAAGTAAGTCACCAGCAGAGACAGGGGATTCCTCCTGTTTTCTCTAACTCCCGTATCCAGCCTGTTGTTCTCATTAGCGGTATCAAAGTAACTGAGTGTCAGAGCGGGTGACAT